AATCCATCCATATTGAATAAAGCTACTACAAACTCGTCAAAATATATTCGAGTAACACCCATTTCGAAGAAACCTATTCAATCATCACAACAACAGCAGTCGCAAAAAATACCAACAAATAATTACTCTCAATTATCGCCGAATTATCTGAATCGATTGGATACATCTGGTCGGCGTATGATCCTTTGTCGTCGTAAGGCATCGAGTCTTAACGGTAAAGAAGTTGGTTATTTTAATCAACTAAAAGGTAATAGTGGCACTAATAACAGTGCAAGTCAATCGGGTAATGTTACACCAACTACATCGGCCACTACATATAGAATCAAAAAGCCAATCTTATCGTCATCGATCAGCAACAGTTCATCGTCACAACCACCAACGCAACCAACTTTTGGTTTTGATACGAATTTTTGTTTCACAACAGCTAATAACTTACCAACGGTGCAACCGCATAACGTTGTTCAACATCAATCAACGCCACAGCCAAGCGTTGGAGGTGTATCAAAATCGCATAGATATGATCCAAGTCTCAAAATGTCATTGGATTTATCCAATGTCCACGATGACGTCTTTCAACAACTCTATCAACCGTTATTCGCAAATGCTGTTAATGATGTATGTGTTTGCTGTATTTATCTCCTTATTTTTGCTTCTTTGTTTTTTCGTTCATTTGCTTACTCAGTCATTTACTGTTTAGTTCAACTCTCAAATTGTTTGAATATGCTTAGGGTTCCATTTTTTTAAAGTTGAGCCAGAGCTGTTTTTAGACAGCACTTGTGAGCGTCTAATGTTGAAATGATGTAGTTTTTGCGTTGCTTCCTAGATGCAGCTAGTCTGCTCCAAGTGAAATTCTCTTTTTTTTCCAGTTTACCCAAACAATTCAAATTTATAAATTGATATTGAACTAATAAATTTAATGTAAAGTTTTCCGATGAAGGTGATAAGGATTAATTGCGATTGGTGTATTGAAATGTATTGCAGCCCTTATCGCGATCAATTAGATTCAAACAAATTAAGCAGTTCGAATCAATCTCAGCCTTCAATAAATGGTTTGATAGCGTGAATATAGACGGTTCAGTGTGGCATCTTGTTAGCAGATTGTGCTTCGCTGTGAAGCCGGTATGATGAATTCTTTTTAGTCGTGTACTCATTTCTGAATTTTCTTACCGGAAATTATCTAGGAATGCGAGCATACTCGTAGTTCCTAATATTTTCATATGGTAATGTTCATTCAGGAAATTATTTTGCTGTGGATTTTGGTTTTTGTTGAAATTATATTCAAAATTTTGAATTCAGAATCTACATACCTTTTTATTTCAACCTGACTGGGTTATCATTGTTATTATTACCAGTAATATCTTGTTCACTATTTCAGCTTGAGTTGCATGTATACGCATGCAGAAGTCATGATCGATGCCCATCATTGTTGGCAGTACGCTATTCTTTATACGTGGATGAAATTCGAGTCAGTTATGATTTATTTATGTTCTAAATTTATTATGCGGTCTCTAATGGTAATATCACTTTGAATGTTAGTGTGGAATAATTTTTTTTATGCCAAGTGCTTGTTCACTTGAAGGGTAAATATTAAGTTTGACTCAGTGAGATTTTTGTTTGCAGGTGTTTACTGGAAGAGAGCATAACATTGTAAATTCAAATTCTCAAGCTGCAGATAAAAGTGTAGCAGCTGATCACGATGATGATATAGAAGTTCTTTGGCCACCACCTGATCGCAGTAGATCAGTGAATTCAGGTTCATTAGCAAGTTATCCAAAAGAATTGCTTTGAATTGATTCATTTTCGGTATTCATGTCGCTTTTTTTTCGTTGATTCAAAGTTTCTCCGAAACAACAAACCTACAATTCTTCAAGCATTTTCAGATGGTGATGATGTGGGGCGGTCAAAAATGGCAAACTCAACAGATTCAAACGAAATTTCCTCCACCTATGAGCCATCGACATCAAAAGTTCAAGCTTCAAGAATTGGTGAAAATTTGGCAGATGATGCTGCTTCAAGAACTGTTATTAATGCTTCTTCGCCACCGCTAATACCTTCGGCAAATGATGCGTCATCAAGAACCGTTATTAATGCATCTTCACCACCGCTGATACCTCTTCCATCTCAAGCTCCTTCTGCACTCCAAACGGAATCAATGCCTGAAACTGATGGCCTTGTTAACATACCACTTCCCACGGAAGCAAACACCGCCACTTCAGAGCTGTTACCTTCAACGAGCACTGCAAGTACAGATTGTCTCATCGCTCATCATGCATCATCTGCTCTTGATCCGAATGAAATAACCACAAAAGAACAACAGATAGCGGATGGAAATGAGATGACTCCATCAGAAACAAAACATCAGTCGTTATCGCCGAACGGAAATGGTTCGTCAAACGAGGGAACAACAAATGAATCACCTAGAAATATTGAGGATAATGTTAATCACTATAGTGGTAAGCAACCAACGGCAGAAATTTTGAATGATGCTGGTAATCAAGAGAAACAAGAAACTGCTCAGCTTTCTGCTTCAGATGATTTACTTTCACAAGTGCTGCAAGAAGTTGATATACCGATTGAGTTTGGATTCGATGATGATGTTGACGCTGTTAAGAGCATTGCCGATAATAATGATGTTGACAAAAATAGTGTTGATATTAAACTCAACGGTGATAATGCTAGCACATCTAGAACGTCTAGTGCTCCTGTGGAAATACTAACCCAGCCACAACAAGAGTGTTCCTCGACGAATGCAACAACAAGCGCTTTAGAGGATTCGAATAGTTCAAGTGAGAAGGTGGTAAATAATTGCACGAAAGAAGACGAAGAAGTTGAAAAACGAGTGAAAAATATTTTGAAGGCGTATAGTATAAATGAAAGTACGTCCGTTTCGAGTATATTGAAAGGATACGGTCGGGTTAATTGTAATTATGCTTCTAATAATCGGAGACGTTTTTGGCGATCAATGCCAAACCGATCTGGCATAAAACAAAACGGTTATGTTCAAAGCAGTTGTGGTAATGATAGTGATAATAATGATGGTACTAACCTTGAAAGTATTAATAATGATAGTATTAAAAACAGTGGAGTGATAACAACATCGGATCATGACACTGATTTAGTTGTGAATCGGCTGAGTACTGAACATTCGCGAAAAAGAAAGCAGAACCTTTCTGAAGATTCAATTGCCAACGAATCATCTTGGGATCAACTTGACGATATTCAATTGAAACGAGGTGACCTAAGAGATGGGAGTGCACAGTCGACGATCAATCATCCTGCTCAGAATTCGAACGAAATGGCGAGTTCTTCGAATGTAGTCGAAGAGGAGTTCAGTGAAAGCGGTGGAATAATGGCTGATCAACTGATGGATTGTCCTGATTCGGAGTTGATCGATATCCCGAGCGGTGATAACAATAGTGCTGATAATCAGTTTCCTGCAGCTAGCACTTCAGTGCAGCACTTCAATACATTACTGAGCGCATCTGATGATGTCGATGAAACTGTATTTCCGGTTTGTTGTTTCTGGAATCTTTGGATTTATTATTTTTAGAATTTGGTGAATAGTTTCATCCTTCTTATGTTGATGATTTGCATTGCTCGATAACGATGCCAAAATTATTTTTCATGGGACAAAACTTAATCAGTCTTCAACTTCGTGTAAGATTTCATCTAACTTCAGCAGTAGAGCTATATTTGTTCAGAGGAATATGTTGGAGTTGTTTGCAGAACACATAAGGAATTGAACTTCCTCTGTCCCAACGTTCAATAGTTTTTGTATGTTGATGGTTCACCGNGTTTAACGTGATAGTGTTCTATTTTAGCTTCGTTTCAATACCGGTTCAGTATCATGCTCATTGCCGTATTTTCCCGTAACGGACGCAAGGTAAATTCATTTTTCAACCTTTTGCAGTCTAGTTCTAATCTTTTGCCGTAGTTGTTTCGGTTGGAATATATTGATTTGGAAATTTCAGCGCAAATAATTCAGAATGGCTTTCGTCAGTGGACAATTTATTGCAGTATATGCAACGGTGTTTAACGGTAGAAAATCAAATGCGTTGTTCGAAGCGAGTTTTGCGGAGGCTCAGAAAATATAGCAGATGCGTATAAAATGGGTTGATGACCAAGAATATTGAAGCGATCAATCAGCACCATCATCCAGCTATCACTCTCGTACTTCAGTTTGTGTTTCATTCAGCAAATCATTGCCTTCTGGTGTGTTTATACGGTGCTGTTCAGTTCACTTATATTTGTATACATATTGACCAGCGATTACGTATTTAGCTGGGCTACGTTCTGTTTGCAAATTAATTCGTCGTTGATTCACTTTGTGTTGAGTGAGGAATTTGGGTGATTTAGAAGATATAAATGGATCGTACGCAGATTTTTGTGTTGTAAATGGTTTTTTTATCGAAAATTGCTGCATACGTTTGTGAGATTTATTATCGTTGTTATTACTACCTTGAATATTTTGTGCGACCGGTTCTTCAGTTGTTTTAAAAATTTATTTTTCAGTCACTTTGCCCCTTTCCCTTACAATATGGCGCATATTTAATGATACTTCAGCCGTAATGGAACCGATAAACTTAAACCTGTTTTGGTGTGAATAGAAGAACAGTGAAGCAAAAATTATTTTTGAAAATATTTTGTCATTGAAAGCAAAAAAAAGATTCATTATTGTCGTTCCTGTAATCATTACAAATAATTTTATTATTACCATTACTGTTGTTGTTAT